TGTACAGACTTGGGACAGAGTGTGATTGAAGTCAATGGAATTTGGTCTGTTTACAGCAATGGGGAGTGTGTCTCAGTGTCTTAATGACTGTGCCATTATTTTTAGTCACAGAAGGTGGCCTCAGAGACTGTTAATGAAGCACAGTGAGTATACCCTGTTGAAATTGCTGGTTTTGGACTTCAGGCTACTTCTGACACAACCATTTCCTCTTGTAATGTAACTTCTTTATTTTTGAGGCCGTGTTGGCTCTGGTGTGTTATTTTGTTGATTATATGAACTATGTGTTCTGTAGTCCCATATTCTTAAATTTGACAGTGGCCTTTTGGTCTAAGAATGAGTGATCATTTATGTTTGAACATTGAAATAAAAAAAGCACTCACTCGTGCCATAAAAATGGATTCCTGTTCACGGGATCCTCAGCTGGACTTTGAAATACGATAGGAGGCGCCAGTCTTAGGGGCTGCTCTGTTCTTCGGAAAATGATCTCAGAAACTGGAAGTGTATTTTGCCACAAAACCCATCACTTTCCCAGCTGTGAGTACTTACAGCAAATAAGCTGGTATAACATACCAGTTAAGTTCAGGGGTCATTTCGTAGAAAAAGAGCTAGGGGGACTCATTAGCATAACTCATTAGCATATGCCACACCCTCTGACATCACCGGAAGTGTGTCCTCCCCACAGCCGGCGGCGACCTCCAGCGGGCACCAGCAGGGAGCTCCAGGCCCCGCCCTCCCACACCTCACCCGGGGGGATGGCGTCCCCCCGCTTCCCCCCCCAAATGACCCCTGGTTAAGTTCAATAAGTGGGTTCTAGATCAAATCAAGCCTGAACTCTCCCTAGAAGCTAAAGTGACCAAACTGAGCCTATCGTACTTTAGTCACATTATGAGAAAACAGGAGTAACTGGACAATACTGCTAGGAAAAGCTGAAGGCGGCGGGAAGGTGCCCTCAGTTTGAAAGACCTGAGCAAGGCTGTTAATGATTGGACATTCTGGAGGTCATTAATTCATAGGGTCGACATAAGTCAGAAGCAACTTGATGGCACTTAGCACATACAACATATCAGCTAACAGGCTGTGATCCAGTTCAGTTCTTATGGACTCTGTAGGTGGCCTTAAGAAAGCCACTCTGCAATATGAGGTAGATAATAAAACTGGCCTACCTTACAGGGCTGTTGTAAGGTTTGCAAGATTTCATGTGTGAAGGACACGGAAAATGCTAAATAAAATAATACTTCACATTTGTATAGTGCTCTCAGCATCCATAGCACTTCACGTACGTTATCACAATAATCCTGTGGTGGGCTGGTATTATTATTCCCAGGTGGGGGAGAGGAAGAGGAGTAGGTTCCATATTGAAGCTGATGTCATCTAGCAGTATGAGTTCAGCAGTTATAGAGTCGCCACAATCAGTGAAATTACAGTGGAATCCTGTGTAAAGGTATTTAGTTCTAGGAACACTGATTTCAGTGAGATTAGGCTGAAGTAACTCTGCATACAAATGCATGTCCTGTACAAATTTGTATATATTTTTTATAATGTGGCCTACATTATCCAAAAACAGAGATGTAATAATAAAAGGTGGAAAAGGTATATTACTGATGACTCTTCTGCTTATGAATGAAACTGAGTGAACCTTTTCTCATTTATTTGATGAAATTTGGTCCAGCCACTGAGAGGCCAGGTGTACAAGCTCTAGGGGCCAGATCCAGTCCATAGTTGTCCATCTCTATGACTGGTGGCTAAAATCAGATTAACCATAGATTTAAAATCCATGATTGATTGGTTAATATGTATGTACTAGTTATTTGCAGAACTCTGACCCACCTCTAGTCATAACATTCCATTCATTTCTTTTGACATTCATGACTATGTTAATATAGCATCCATTGTTTCTGTCATTGTTTACTTTGACCAGCCACTAATAGCAAGCAGCTGCAGGAAGAAAGCTGCGTTCCCCCACCCCATTTGTTCTTCTTCTTCTTTTAAACAAGTGAACAGTTCTTTTTTTTCTAAGCTGTTATAAATTAATTCTTATATAATCTTATGTTCCTATGTTTTATCCTATGTATGGATTTTAATTTTATATATTGACCCTAAACGCTATGTTAAATTTACTGTGCCAATAAAGGTATTGTAACAATTCTTTTTCCTGATTATTTATAAAAGGTTTTTGGAAAGTCGGGATACTGGATGGGTTTCTAGGAACCTGTGATGGTTCTGAACAGGGCTCTTTTTGTAGAAAAAGCCCAGCAGGAACTCATTAGCATAATAGGCCACACCCAACAGCAGGAACTCATTAGCATATTGGGCCACACCCCTGACAGCATAGCTCATTAGCACATTAGGCCACACCCCCATGTTACCAGAAGTGTGGTTATCCAGCCACACCCACCTTTTGCTTGTTATTCTGTTTACCTTGTTTCTTGTCAAAACCCAGGGCTTTTTTGTAGCAGGAACTCCTTTTTTTTTTTTTGAACACAATTTTATTTTCATGAAAATATTGACATATCATCAGTTCAAATTAATATTTCGATTTTAACCCCATACCAATATCCCCAATTTACTCTCTCCCTCCCCCAGGCTTCCCGCAATGCTTCCCCCCTCGTCCCTCCAGCACAACTTAAGATAACATAATATTCTCATTTCAATATTGTTCCAAATATAGTAAGTTATGTTTCACATCCCAGTTCTTTTCTAGGTAAACTTTAAAGTCTCTCCACTCTTCATAGAATTCCTGATCTTCTTTGTTATTCAATTTTTTTGTAATTTTGTCCATCTCCGCCATAAACAAAGTTTTTTGTATCCATTCTTCTAACTCTGGAATTCTTTCTTGTTTCCAACATTGTGCATAGAGTAGTCTCGCCGTTGTAATCAGATACCAAAATAGAGTCCTTTTTGTAATATTCAGTTCTTCCATTTTAAGTCCTAAGAGCAGAATTTCTGGCGCTTTCTTAAAGGAACATTTCAGAATCTTTTGCATTTCGCTGTGGACCCTGGTCCAGAAGTCCACAGCTTTTTCACATGTCCACCACATATGGTAAAATGAACCTTCATGTTTTCTACATTTCCAACACTTGTTGGAAAGATTTTGACTCATGTTGGCTATTTTCTTTGGTGTCATATACCACCTGTACATCATTTTATAACAGTTCTCCTTCACATTAGTACAGGTCGAAATTTTAATCGAGTTCTTCCACAGATATTCCCAGGAATCCATAGAAATCTCAGTATTAACATTTACTGCCCATTTAAGCATTTGTTCTTTCACCGTCTCATCTTCCGTATACCATTTTAACAAAACTTTATATACGGTAGAAATCGCTTTTTCCCCTCCTCCCTCCCAGACAGTTTCAATTTCATTTTTCTCTTCTCTAAAACCATATTTTTTCTTATCTGCATTGAACAAGTCAACTATCTGTAAATAGCTCAACCATACATATTTATACTGTATCTCATCCTGCTCTTTCATTTGCCATTCTGTACCAACTTTTTGAATTAAATCTCTGTACGGCAACCATTCTTTACCGCTTTGCCTCGTGTATGATGATAAAACTTCTGCTGGTACTATCCACAATGGTCTTGCGTCAAAGAAAAATCTTTTATATCTCGTCCACGTTACAAATAAGGCATTTCTCACAAAGTGATGTCTGAAAAAATTATCAGCCTTATTTTTTTCATACCAAAGGTATTTCAGGACGCGTCAACCCTCCATCAAAGCTCGACCGGAAGCCTTGTAGCAGGAACTCCTTTGCATGTTAGGCCACACACCCCTAATGTAGCCAGTCCTAATGAGTTCCTGCTGTTGGGTGTGGCCTATTATGCTAATGAGTTCCTGCTGGGCGTGGGCAACTTGGGAGCCAGCTGGAACTCCGTTCCTGTGCGTTCCTGCCCAAAAATAGCCCTGGTTCTGAATAAATATAATTGTCCTTATTGTCCGTGTTTCCCATACAGATATCTTCCCTTCTTCAGTCCCCCTCCTTAAAGAAAGAGAAATAATGCTGCAGTAGGGCCGCTGGTGCCTATCACCACTTAAGTAGTAGTCAGTCAGGAAATACGTCCTCTTCTTTGCTTTTCAAAATATGGTAACCCCATAAATAAACCAGCACAGCATTGTGCATACTGTACTCTTGGCCCTAAATTTCTTGGCCCTAGGATTTTTTCTAGGAAATACACCAATATTACAATTACAGTATTAGCTGCTGTGCATGGTTCTATACAATGTTACTACTACTTCTCTGCCCCATCCTTCCCCCATGAAACTACAGTGGGGATTATCACATTTTTCTCCTGTTGGAGACAGAGGCCTCTTAATTATTTGAATAAGGCACATTGCCATAATTCTTTCTAGTCTAATGTCTGTTGCTCTCCAATGCTTGATCTATCACCAACACTGATTATACAGAATGACTGGTTTGGTGCACTTTCTCTTATACGGTAAACACAAAACAGAGCCAGCAAGAAGTATTCAGAAGTCTGAACTTAGCTCCTTATAATAATCTCACAAAAATTGGTTGGAATTTAGGTAGTAGACAAGAACCTCACAGTTTAAAAGTAACATCTCCAGTATCTACCATGCAAGGAAGAGAAATTCAAAGATATCTCAAAAATATGAAGTTTTTTTTAATGCCACCATTTGGATCTGTCTATCCATCTAATACATTTTTCTCCCTCCCTCCCTCCCAGGATATAAGGGTGGCATATGTGGTGCCCCTTTCCCCCATTTTATCCTCATAGTAACTCTATGAGGTAGGTTAGGCTAGGCTTGAGAGAGTTAATTGTTTGGCCTAAGATCACCCAGCAGATTTCATGGCAGATTGGGGATTTGAATTCTGGTCTCTTAGAACATAGTTGGATACTCTAGCTGCTATGCTGCACTGGCTGCTTGGGCAATCTGTTTTTGTTATCCCATTTGTATATGTCTATAGATCATTCCGCCAAAATCAGCCTAGACTGGCATATTATCTCTCATCTGCATTCCTCTCCATTTTCTCTTTCAGCTTGGCTGTGACCGTAGCAAGAATCTTGTGGACATCTGTGGACAGAAGGGATCTCAGGCTTTCGTGGGTGATGCCCTCTCTGTGCCAATACGAAGCGGCACGTGTGATGCCTGTATCTCCATTGCTGTGGTTCACCATTTCTCAACAGCAGTAAGTTCTTACCTACAGTGCTTTGCAGTATAACAGGAGCTGGGTAAGATGGTGGGAAGTGTTGGGATGTACAGCAGAAAACGAAACCATTTATTGTGGATGTGTATGCTTTGGAAGCCTTGCCAAACCTCTAACCTGGCTTTCAGTGAGTAGGATTTGAGCTTTAAAACACATTCCGATTTTTTCAGTATAAATAATTCATTAGCCTTCACTGTGTGGATGTGGACTGCAGAAATCCCACACTTTACATCTCAGCTATTAGTTGGCTAAGACAGAATAGGCAAATGATATTTCGTTGTACAGATACAATGCCGAAGAGTAGTACGGACATTCTGATGAGATGAATTGCTGAAATGTTCAGAAACCAAATGCTAGGAAAAGCACACCGGGGAGATTTCTTTTAATAAAAGAATGGGGAGGGTGATTGAACTACTCTCTTTAAATGTGAATGGTTTGGCCTCAGATGTTAAAAGATACAGAATAAAAAAAATGTTAAAGGACCTTGATATAGATATCTTATGTATTCAGGAAACACATAAAAGTAGAAAGGATTTAAGACCATTGTTAGACTCACTAAGTTGGAAACTGCAAATGGAATCAAGGGGAACAAAAAAAGCAAGGGGAGTGGCTATCCTACTACATTCTAGATTGAATATAAATATTATGGAGCAAAGCAAAGATAGAGAGGGTAGATTTATTTTTTTTGAAATTTAGTATGAATGGCGAAAAATATACAGTAGGAAATATTTATGCACCCAATAAAGGGCAGACTTTATACCTGATTAGACGAATTGCTGTAATGTTCAGAAACCAGTGGCAGAACCTTTCTGCTTCCCAGGAGACACTGTGGCTGATCTAATGGTCATCATTCTCCTGCAAAAAGGTGTAAAACTGCTGAATTAGACTTTATTAAGAAGTCTGAGATCATCTCCCAGGAGCTTAATAAGGCCTTGAGATTCTTCAGCCATTACAAGTTCTAGCCAGCCTAGCAAAACGAAGGAGATTGCCAATGACTGTTATTGTAATTATTTCTTCATTACATCTTACCTTGTACTCCATGCATTCCTTGGCCTTTGGCCCTGCTCTGTAACCTTGCTGTATAACCTTTATAACCTGCCAAAATGGGATGCAGTCCACAAAAGTTTACGCTAGAAGAAGAATCTCGTTATAAGTCTCGTGGCCCCTTAAAGTCTGTGTTTTTGGGACACGTCAGTGTTTCTTCATTGTACCAAGTCGTTGCCACTCTGTGTGTGTGTGTTTGCTTTGTTCACCCAATGGACTCGATTTTTCTCTTCTCTTTGCTAGGAGAGAAGGCTGGCTGCTCTTTGTGAGTTAGTCCGTTTGCTGAGGCCGGGTGGAAGGGCTCTCGTTTATGTCTGGGCTATGGAACAGGAATACAACAAACAGAAGTCTAAGTACCTGAAAGAAAAAAGATCTCGCAGAGGCGGGATGGAGGAAACAAATGGTGGTGCATGTGAGAGGGATCACCAATATTTGGTGCACCCCAATAATGGCACAAGCCAGGAAACCCACCCCAAGCTTCCCGTGCATACCAACAGAACTTCCTTTGACTCCCAGGACTTGCTAGTCCCTTGGCATCTGAAAGATGGCACAAAGAAAAAAGCGGAGCCAATTAAATCTCATCAACCGCCGTCAAATTCTGCAAACTCGTGTAAACCAAGTCCTGTCTTCCACCGTTATTACCATGTCTTCTGTGAAGGAGAACTAGAAGAGGTCTGCAAAAGCCTGGATTGCATAAAGGTCGTAGAGAGTTACTATGATCAAGGAAACTGGTGTGTGGTTCTTGAAAAGCGGTAACATCATTCGAGTCCGAGAGAGACAAGTGGACTATAAATAATGTAAATAAATAAATTAACTTTATTTAAAAAAATACTTTGCAAGCAACTGAAGCGAAAGGGGGACATTTTAACCTACATATTTGTTTGCAGTGATGTTCCTGAAACTCATATTTTGATCGTGTCCACTTTTTAAGTCTGCTTTTAGATGTCTAAAAATAATGTTGTCTTTATGTTACTGCTTATGGTTCTTGTTTGTCTCCTTGAATCACCTGCAGCAGATGGCTCAGTGCCACCTTGGATAATTTGGTGGGCTGGCTGGTGCCAGGGTATTTGCAACAACCCTGAACATCCAAAGTGGTTGCCATCTTTTTCACCACTCCGGATGAAGAGCCCACGCATATTCCTAGCTGAACCAAACGTTGTTTCCCCTTTTCACCAAGCAGCTTAGTGGTACAGTTGTGACTTTTGTAATTGGATTTTGTGCGTTGAGCCCAAACTCCACAAGCATTCAGTTGGATCAAGGTCTACAATGACAACTCTGCATCTGGACAAACACAAGTGGAGCAGAACTCACAGAAGGAATCTTTGCCACCTTTATCTTCTTTCTGCTTTATCCTTCCCCCTCCCCCCCCCAAAAAAGCTGAGGAGGAGCTGCAATTGAAAGGGAGAATTTTTGTGTGAACTCTTCTGCAAACATTATAAGACTGAGTATGAAGAGGAGAACAGTTTCCATGAAATCCTACTGTGCCTGCATTCTTTTACACTTTTTTTTCAATTTATGAGTTTGGTATACCAAGTTAGGTTTATTTAAGGATTATAGATAGTACAAATAGAGAACTAATGAGAAAAACAAGAGAGAGAAAAAACATAAAACAAGGCAATACAAATAAGAGTCTGTGAAACTTATTAGTACAGTCTTGAATTCAGGAATGTATTGTTTATATCATTATTTTATCATTTAGATCATTTTTTTGTTTTACACTGCAAACATTTCCCAGCTTGCTGCTTAATAAATTTAACATTTGCCCCTAGTCTTCACAATGCATGATGATTTAATTATACTTCTAACCTCCCACAATCTGCTTTCATAAACGTAGCCTTTAGGAACTGGAGAACGGTTTTTAAAGATTTACATTTATTTTAATATTAAACAAAGTGCAACAGATATTTACAAATGGCCAGTAATCCATAAACAACAGACAATGGCACCACACCATGAAAAAAGAACAGTTCTGAATAGTAAAATGCCATGGTTGAGGATAAACGTTGTCCATCAGAACAGCTGACCAAAGGCCATACTGGAGAAACATTCAATCATTCTATTCAATGCCATAGGACTCTAAATATTTTCTTAGTCCCCAAATATTATGAAGAGTCTGTAAAGAATTAGATAAAGCTAAGAACTGTGAGCTTAGTGGCTTTATTCCAAAAGTTTATAAATAAAGACCATCTTTATTTTGCTCTGAATTTAGTTGTTTGCAAACGGATATAGAGGTGTGGAACCTTAACGGACTGAAGGTGGATTAAAATGAGCAGAAACCCTGAACAAGAGAAAAGATTCTCCTTGTAATGTTCTGCTGAAGTACACATCCCATATTATACTTGGCTGTTGAGATTCCCTCATTGCTTTGATGTCAGTAGGCCTTTGGTACTCAATAGCGAGAAGCAAATTGCTTTACTGAGATATGTTAACACTGGAATAAACTACTGTGGTTTGGACATGTGGGGTGGCAGAAGAAATGGCGGCAGAGGTATCATTTTTCTTAGGCTTGAGGGAAGAAGAAAGATTTCTTTAGTTTTTTAGACTGTATATTCTCAGTTCTGTCAGCAGTTGAATCCTACGGATAACTCAATAGCCAATTACTGTTCTTTGCATTCACTTTTACTATATAAAATGCATTTGTAAGGCCCAGTGAGGTAGCACTGCCACAGAGACACCACCTGAAGTTTGATAAACAAAATACAATAAAATTCGCTAAGTCTCCCTCAGACCTTCAGGTTTTTTGAGCACACACGCCGGATAAAGCTGATCATCTCACTTGACTAATACAAAGAGCTTGATGTTAGAATGGAAAACGGCAACCAGCTGATTAAAGGTTGTGGCCCCTTCCCATCTTTGAGGATTGCTCTGATTGTTCAGGATGATGAGAACCAGGGAGGACTGTGAGGCACTCCAGAGGGATCTGTTGAGGTTGGGTGAGTGGCTGTCAACATGGCAAATGAGGTTCAATGTGGGCACGTGCAAAGTGATGCATATTGGAGGAAAGGAGACAGATCTTGGAGTCCTAGTAGATAACTCATGGAAGATGTCGACTCAGTGTGTGACTGCAATTTAAAAAGGCAAATGCTATGCTGGGGATTATTAGGAAGGGGATTGAAAACAAATCAGCCAGTATCATAATGCCCCTGTACAAATCTATGCTGCGCCCTCATTTGGAATACTGTGTACAGTTTTGGTCATCACCACACCTCAAAAAAGATGATATAGCACTGGAAAAGGTGCAGAAGGCAAGTAAAATTATTAAAAGATGGAACATCTTCCCTATGAAGAAAGGTTGAAGAGGTTAGGGCTCTTTAGTTTGGAGAAATGACAATTGAGAGGTGACATGATAGAGGTTTCCGAATTTATGCATAGGACAGAGAAGGTAGAGAAAGAAGTACTTTTTTCCCTTTGTCACAATACAAGAACTCATGGGCACTCAATGAAATTGATGTGCAGTAAGTTTAGAACAGATAAAAAGAAGAACTTCTTCATCCAAAGTGTCATTATAACATGTGGAATTCACTGCTGCAGGATGTGGCAGCAGCTACAAGCATAGCTTCAAGAGGGGACTGGATAAACATATGGATCAGAGGTCCGTCAGTGGCTATTAGACGCAAGGTATAGATGGAACACTATGTCTGAGGCAATGATGCTCTGTGTTCTTGGTGCTTGAGGGGCAACAGTGGGAGGGCTTCTGGACCTCCTGATGGCCTCCTGATGGTTTTGGCCACTGTGTGACACAGAATGTTGGACTGGATGGACCATTGGTCTGATCCAAATGGCTTTTCTTATGTTCTTATGATACAGTTATTTTTTGTCCCTTTCTAGCATAACAGCTCACAGGATCAAATAGGACAAGTTTCACAGTACTGAGCAATTATACGACTACTGTGCAACAAGGTGTGAAACTATATACACGAGGTGACTCATGGGGAAAGAAGAATCCAAATTTCCCCCACTGGTTCCCCCTAAACCCCCCTGCTTGTTCTGCCTATGGTTTCCTCCACCACATCCTCCCAATTGCCTGTATTCCAGCTGTTCTAACCCAGCCTGCATCAACTGTCTGTCCTGTGCTTATTTCTGCTCAGCTTATAGCTTCTTCTTTTTTAACTTTTTAAGTGGCATTGTGGGTTTTGCACATGCATGCATTGACATTTCACCCCCCCCCCCCCGGCCGCCCCCCTGGGGGGGGGGGGGGG